TTGTATTTTGGAGACCAATTAAAAATATCATCTGATTTCTGTGTACGATCCATCTCTGCCCTTGGCCGGCTCCTACTCCCTTATTCTTGTGGCACCTTTTGGGCAGGGACTTGTTTTACAAGGCAGATCATAATATTGTCCAGAAAATGGAGATGTGCAGCCTAATTCTAAGTCAATCTGGTTAGTTCTCTTCCCTGAAACAAGCTTAAACCACACTAAAAAGTGAACTACAGTGCTGACTTTTAAGGAAAAGCCTGCAGCTCTTCCTGTGCTACATATATAGTCTGCAGCCGCTCCCTCACCCCAGAGCAGTGATGGCCAGCATGGTCTTCCCAGAGTGATCCCAGCCCATCCCACCCTGAGAAGCTCAGCCAAACCATTCCCACCTCATTTGTCAATCCTGGGAGCATTGCTCAGCTCCCCCTTTGTTCTGGCCCTCCCCACATATGTGCACTCTGCTGTGAGTTATCAAAGCACAGCCGTATGCTCCAGCTGCTGAGTGATTTGCAGCGGAAACGAGTTTGGCTCTAGCTCTGATTTGTCCCCGGGAATGAGTTTCTGATCCTGCTGAAGTCCCTGGTAACACTGCCAAGCTCTTCAAAGGGGCCAGGCCTCGCTTTGTAAGCTCACCTCTGGTGTTTGGCTTGCAAACACCTATAGCAGTGTTGGTCATTCAAGAAAAATGATGGAGGTGAATAGGGCTCAAAGTCCAAAGGGTGATGCTGCACAAAGTGCGTAGCTGAGCAAATACTGCTTTAGAAACAGCATGAGTAAGTTCATTCAGGGCAGCCCTGCCCTCAGCAGCAGCATCAAGGCAGTGGTTCGGAAGCTGGATCAGCCTTGTGTCAACTATTGTAAAAGGGTGACAAAATGAATGGTGTACAAGAGGAAGAGGCTTCAGGCTTGCACATGCTTCTTAAATATCACCTCCTACCATCACAGCCTTTACTGACTTCCCCATGCTACTGGGCACTAGCCAGACCATAATGAACTGTGGTGTCTTTCTGGGAGGAGGGAGTGAGCTGGGGAAAAGAAGATGGGATAAACCCAGTGACTGCAAGGGAAAACAAAAAAGGTAAGGGGGAGCAGTGTTAATGCAAACTGGAGAAGTGGGGTGCCCCAAGGAAAGGACTCAGGGAAGGCTGATGATGGTGGTGATGGAAGGTCAGAGCTGTCTGGATGCAGGGCCTCAAATGAAGTTGGTAAGCTTGGCCAGGTCCTGGCTGAGCCTCTTGGCATGACTGGCTTAAGTCAAATGACCATGGGAGGTGGCACTGGCCCACCACATGTGGGGCATGGACCCCTTAGCGCCAGGTAAAGATGGTGCCAGTGCAGGCCCAATGGGGCAGAGATGCCCAGGTCCAGGACCACAAGTTTTGGGAGCCTCATGTAACCCAGGGTGGACCTGAGAAGCGGCAGGGAATGTTAGAGGGGCAAGATGGGGGTGCATCAGGTCACACTGGCTCTATCCCTGCTGGGCAGAGGAAACGGAGGAGGGCAGAGCCAGGGCACTCAGCGCCCTCCCCTTCGGTCCCGGGGACCCCCGCTGCCCCAGCCGACAGTCTCCGGCAGGCGGGCAGGGCGGCGGGGGAGGGGGGGGGGGTGGGAGGCGGGGCGGCCAGGGGGCGGTGAGCCGGGCTCCCTGGGGGAGGCACCGGAAGGCGCCCGGCGCTGATTCATTGCAATAAATTGTTCCCGTCGCGGCGAGGCTTGGTCATCGCCGCTTGAGCCGGAGCTGCAGCAGGAGCCGGAGAGGAGCCTGAGCCACCGGAGCGAGAGGATGAAGATGCAAGCCGAGGTGATCCGCGAGGGCGAGCTGGAGAAGCGGAGCGACAGCCTTTTCCAGTTGTGGAAGAAGAAGCTGGTGGTGCTAACCAAGGACAGCCTCAGCCTCTTCCCCGATGGACACAAGCGGGCCAAGGGCAAGGAGCTGGGCTTCGGCTCCATCCTCAAGGTGGACTGCGTGGAGCGCACGGGCAAGTACATCTACTTCACCATCGTTACTAAGGACCGCAAGGAGATTGACTTTCGGTGCCCGGACCAAAGCTGCTGGAACGCCTCAATCACCATGGCCCTCATCGACTTCCAGAACAAGCGGGCCATCCAGGACTTCAAGAGCCGCCAGGAGATGGAGCAGGCGGCGGGTGCCCAGGAACGGCGGCTGGCCCGGGCGCCCTGAGCCGCCGCCGCCCGCCCCGGCCGGCCCGGCCCCGAGGTGAGCCCCAGCGCGGTGCTGCCGCTCTCCTCGTTTGATTTATTTGTTAAATTACTTTTAATTGTTGCCCCATCCCCTTCACACACCTGCTCCGGCCGTGGGGACTTCATTCAGCCCGCACCGCTCACCTCATCTTCGAGCCGGAGCTGCCGCCGACCCGCGGAGGTGCCCTGCCGCACTCCGAAACCGGGCCGTGCTGCCTGGCTGCGGGGCTTGCTCACATCCCACTCCCGATGCATTGCTGGGAATTTCTCGTGGGAGCTGGCCTCATGCGGGGCACTGAGAAGTACGGCTATGGGGATGGTGGGGAGTAAGAAATGGCAGCTGGCAGTGCTTTCCTGGCAGAATTACCTAAAAATACGGTATCTGCAAAAGTTAATGCTGACCACTTACTCTTCCTTTAAAGCCCCTCTTCTTTGTTTGTTTTTTTTGTTTTTTTTTTTTTTTTTTTATCCTGTCTGTTTAACTAACCTTTCTCTTGTTGCCTTTAGAGCATACCACTGGATGATAAACCAGATCAAGTGTCTTGGACTGAAATGGGACAGGGTACCAATGAAGGAAAGCGAAGAAGTGAGCTGGAAGCAGCTTGGTTTTCTCCAAGCCTGTTGAGGCTGCCGAGCAAAGAGCCCTGAGCTTTGCCCGAGATGCATTTAAAGAAAAACCAAAGACTTTCATAAAGGACTTCTAGCAAAGTGTCCACGTGTTTTAAGTGGCACGACTTTGTGAACGATTATCTTCTATTTATGAGACATGAGGAAGAGTCAACAGTGACTGATGGTGTTAAACGCAATTTAAATTATTTGTAGTATCTATATTTGTATTTATTTTGAAGAATGTATTTCAGCAATTACTGGTCTTAATATTGCTTTTGCATTAATATGTCCATTCTGAATAAATTACTTGAAATGTTCACTTTTTATTACTGTACTCTGGGCTGTAGTAACTTTTGTTGATGTATATTTATTTGTGGAGTGGACAGTGGTGTGGTGGCTTTAAAAGAGTGGGTAAGCTCAGCTTCTTGGTGCCCTGGACTGGGCAGTGGGAGGTGGAGAAAGCCCAGATAGCCCATTTGCGTTTGGCCTCATAAAACCTTGAGCAGGGACAGAAAGTGTGTTGAGGTCCGATTCTGGTCAGTGGTGGAAATAAGAAAGCTTACCACAGCTTGGGTAAGTGCTCCTTTTGAAGTGCTTTCCCATATAATTGGGTAATGGTGGCTAGAGAAGGTGCAAGAACTCCCTGCAACAGTAAAATGCTGCTCTTTCCTAATGCCCTCTGTCCTTCCCCTGGCCCCTGTAGCTTAGTGCTGTGCTAAGGCAGGAAACTGGATTCTTTATTTTGGAATAACACTGCTGACAATCTATGGGATTCCTTAGCTTAGCAGCAAAGCAAGCTGAATGCCTTGCTCTGTCCTCTTTCTCTACCTCTTCAGTCTTTATATTGAGTTAAATTTCTACAGGATGAGTGGGAAGAATGGAGGTGATGGTCTTTTTTTCCTATAGCACCTGGACCAAGAAGGTTGGAGGAAAAAAAAAAAAAGAGAGAAAAAAAGCAGCTAATTTTCTGGATAAAAGCACTGAAGTTTTATCTTGTGAGGCTCTGGGAGCAACACTGCAGCACACGACTCTGCTCTTGCAGTAAGGACTACAAGCTTAGCAGGCAAAGTACTTGCTGCTAATGCTCCAAATTTGGTAGTCTCAGTCAGGTAATTTCCCCCTCCCAAGATCAGTGAATTCTTGCAGGAGACTTTGTACTGGAGGAAGTTGCAAAGTCTGTAATTACAAACAGCCTGTAGTAAGAGCAAAGGAGACTCAGTATAGGTAACAAGGAAAAAAAACCTAGAAGGAGGGTTGGCTTCTGTTTCTGGAAGCAGCAGAGAGACTGGCACTGTAGCATGCTCCATCAGGGCTTTGCATCTCCTTGCATACCCTGCTGGGCTCCTGCAGAGGCAGAGTTGCACATGATTGAGCTGTGGATGTAGCAAATCATTGCCCACAGCATTTGAAAACCTTTGGCCTTGATCCCCTCTAGCACTAGAATGCCAGATGTGCATTTAATGCAGCAAAATGACACTCAAATGGAGATGTATTTTACTCCTGACTTTCCTTGGTACCATTGCAGGGGGTGAAATAGAAGGCCAAACCAGAGCAGAAGCACTGGCTCCTAATCCCCTTAGTTTCTGTGAATCCAAGCAGGAACGCTGACTGACAACAGCTTAGGATCTAAAGCTATTGACTGCAATGATGGCCACTGAGGGAGGAACCTGATAGCTCCCAAGGTCCCATGGCTACCAGTTACTCCAGCATGGCTTTAAGGCCTTCTCAAACCCATCTGTCCCTTACTCTAAAAGCAAATGCTGATGTAAATGAAGGTATTGTTCAAGTGGGTTTATTCCAGGTATGTGGAATCAAAAATAAAACTCAAGACATCTTTATTTCTGTGGAAAAAGGGAGTTACTTTTCTGCAATTGTGTTATTGGTTTTTCATCTCTGCCAGTGGGATATTACTCTTCAAGAGGTAAACAAATAAACCTATATTAACAATTAGCTGTAAATAGCCAAAGGAGGAGACGCCAAAATGTTTGTATAAAACTCCACCGATGGTTGGGCCCACTGTCCTGGTCAAGGGTTGCACTGAGGCACAAATCCCAAGCATGGTACCTAGGAGAGATGGCAGAGACACACAGATGTTAGGGTGAGAGCAAGTCTTGGGATGGAGAAGTGGAGAAGAGCGTGCAGGATCCCCTTCATCCCTGATGGTGCTCTCCTGCAGTAGTAGCGAATCTTACATTAATTTACAGAGGTCCAATTGGGTTTGTTAAGGCTAAGGATTCCAGGAGGCATGGGGACTAGTTTCCACCATGAGCCAGGTCAGCTCCTTACTGAGCATTCCAGACAACTGTAACACTGCCCAAAAGGCAAGCCAGTACTTACTGCTGCCTTCACCAGGACCCAAGGATGTCTTTAGCTCCAGAAGATGCTTTTGAACCTTGCACCCAGCAGGACTGGTAACTACTGCATAGGTTTAGGGATGGACAGGTAATTTCTAGGGTTGTGGTTGAGACTTCCAAGCAAATCACACAGATTCTTCCAGTAGCCTAATACCCTAGAGCGCCCTGTTCTGCCCAAGCTGCTATTGCCAGTTATTCTCTAGTGTAAGACAGAACAGCTCTTGAGGGCTTAGCAGTTGTGAGAAGCTTAGGTCTAACTAGGTATTTAAGAATAAATAAATAAAACCACAGATAAAGACTGAACCCCCCCTTGAAATACTCCTCCTCCCCCCACCTTTGCAAAAAGAACGGATATTTCCATTTGGATGGAAATGCGAGCCCTTCGTCTGGCTGGTCTGGTTCCCCCTTCTTGCAGCTCTCCATTTGCATCCTTAACAGGAACCCAGTTGATGGGGAAGCACCTCTAGTTTGCCAAAGGCAGGTTTTTTTCCACACACAGACAGATGGCCAGGTCATTCCATGGAACGCAAAACTGGCCCCCACACACTTAGTGTGGTCTTCGCCATGCAGTCTTCATGCAGGACACCTATCACAGTCAGGGGAGCAGAAAATACCCAACCAGAAAACCATTAGTCCCCAGCACCAGGAGGAAGGGCAAGTTGGCAGCATATGCAAGAAACTTGTGCCCTGCTCTGAAACTATGTTTGCAATTATATTTTTTTAATATCAGTACAATTATTTAGACTGTTAGCATCAGTTTTCCACCAAGATATGCATTGAGGCTTTGCTGCCACACAAGGCCAGCAGCATCTGGGAAGGATGAGGAGGATGCTGTCCTGCGTGTGAGAAGATGTGGAGTCAAGTGTGATATTTAATGTGGGTAGCCACAGGGAAATGATCACCAGCTCTGAGAGAGAAAAGGCAGCCAGGTGCTCGTGTAGTACCGGCCAGCGACTGCTGGGCTTTTATCAGCATGCTTAAAATATTTGTGCAATGAGCCTGAGCCAAGGGCGTAGCTGCGCGGAGAGGGAAATCTCCCGGGAAGCGCTGCAGAGCGCTCCTCCCGCGCATGGGAACACAAAGGCAATGGGTGGGACCTCGCCTTGACCCTTTGCCAATGGGAGCCATCCCACAACCACCAAACTTTCTGGGCAGGTTTTGCAATTATTTTTCCCCCTCTAGCTATCTGAATTAAACTAATTACTACATACGATTGCCAAACTGGCTCTTATGATTGAGGAGTCTTTTTTCCCCTTTCCATTTTTTTTTTTTTTCTGGAGCAGAAATCTGTCTTCTTAAAAGGTTGGGCCCTCCCTCTGGACTTCTCCAACATGTTGCTGAGAAAGATAATTTCTGTTTAATGGGCTTAAATTAGATCCCTCGTGTCAGATGCCCTCGAGCTTTGGGACATTGTAAATCTCAGCTCTGCAGCGTGGCCCTAGCTCTGTTGCAAAGCTGCAGGTGTTATGGATCCCATTTAAGGCAAGACCTTTAACTGGGACAAGTCACCACGTCAGCAGAAAAGTTCCTGTGTTTTGTACAGCTCTGCCAATGCACATGCTCACCTTCTTTTTCATGACTATCCCACTTTCTGCACCTTCCGTGCCCCTTTTTCTTTCTCCCCAGCTTTTTCCTCCCCTTTTCCCATACCTGGCATGACTCATACCGGCTGGGAGCCCATCCTCCCCTCCTGCCCCAGCCCTCTCCTCCCGAAGGTTTCAGGGTTGGGTGCTGGCAGCTCCTGAAGCCGGGTGGCTCCGTCCCTCCTCCCACCCTCTGCTATGCTGGGCGCCCTGGCTCACCCTCCTTTCCAGCTCACATCCTGTTGCCACGCTTAGATGATGGTGCTGGCCCAGATCAGCCACATGCCTGCGGGGCAGTCACAGGGCCTAATTTAAGGATTAGGTCATCTCTACCAGTAGCCACCTTCGAACCAGCAAAGCCCAAGCAAAGCTGGGGGTTTCAGTGTGCTGAGCCGTGCCTGGCTGCAAGCTCTCCCCCTAAGGTTTTGCATCTGATGTGCAAATAAATCATGAAACATGGGCCCCATCATGCAGGGAGGCTCTGCTGGGCTTCCTCCCTCCCCTGAGGGTGGGGGAGTCTGTGCAGAAACAAGACCTCCATTCTTGGGGAGGGACTGGGTTTGACAAGGGGTGCTTGTGCAGACGCAAGCCCCCCTGGGTTCAGGGCTGCCATTCCACCAGCTCACATGCCCAGCTGAACAACACGTGTGTGTGGGGCAGAATGTTCCCTTCCTGCCTTTGAAGATGAGGAGAGGGGAAAAAAATAATATCAAAGGGAAATGAATGAAATCATTTTCGCTATCTTTGCTTCAATGCAAAGCCCCAGCCATAGGCAAAGAGTAAGTGGCAAACTCATCAGCATTGATAGGAAGTGACCTTGGATCAGACCTAAAAGCAGGATGGTGGAAGCGAGGGATGGTGCCATCCTGCATCCCAATGCTGCCTTTCTGAGACACCTATTTAAAAGGCCAGGATGGGTGACTCAGTGTCTAGCAAGGATGGACAGGTTATCCTTCTGCAACGCCCCATCCGCTCCAGCCTTGCGATGAGGTGGACAACTGAGCTCAGCCTCAGAAAGCCTCACCCTGGCCCAAAGAAAAATCTCTAGAAGCTTTACCAGTCCAAGGCTATCAAAAACATCAGGAAAAGACAGGAGAAAGTCTCAAAAGTGATGTTTCCAAAGGCAAATTCTCAACTTTGATTTCCTTGCTTTAACTAGAAGTTGTTGCAAGCTAGCATTCAGGTTTTTGATGCTGCGACAGTGAGGCTTTTTCATAAAGCCAGATTTCCAAGCTGTTAGAAAAGCAGGGATTTCTAATGCGCCACCAAAATGCTCACTGTGCAGAGCCGGTCGCGGGTTCGCATAGGCAGGAACAGCCTTTCAGCTGCTGCACGGGTGGAGCAGGCGTTGTGGGGTGTCACCCACAGCCAGAGGAGGGATAGCAAGCATTTTAATAGCTGCATTTCACTGCGGGACACCCACACTGTCACTGCCGCAGCTGCTGCGGAGAGGCAGCTCACAGCTCTGCTGCGTCAGGCATTCCTGCCTTCACCCTGGCCCCTGCCCCGGTGTGTCCAGAACAAGCACAAAACCATCCTACGCCGCTTCCCTCAGAAATGCTGCAAGATGAAAGCACAGTTTGAAAGGTGAAGGTCAGGGAGGAGTGTCAGAGACAAGGTTTTCCCCCAGCAGCATCCCTCCTCAGCATGCCCAGTTTCAAGCCAGCTGTAACTGGAATTTGTAGTACCACGTGGCATGGCATCAGCCCAGGAAGGACAGTCAGAAAAAAGTGCTGGATAGCTCTCCCAGTGCCCTGCAATCCCCTCTCAACCATCTGCACCACCCCTTGGGATGCCTCCATCCTGCCATGCCATCCTGCCATGCAGACGCTCCATCCCACCAAGATGCAGGCTGACCTAACAACGTAAGAAAGTAGGCAGCAGGGTGAGTCAACTAAGCCCATTTCCCTCTCTGACCAAAGCTTGCCTTCAGGCCTTTGGGCTTTAAAAGCCAAGCAGTGCTCCAGTTTTCCTCACAAAGCCCCTTTGAGAAGAGCCTGGATGAATTCCAGTTTGGCTCTACATCCCAAAGCCATTTGGTGCCCTTCCCCCTTGGCTGTCCCTCCTCACATGAACATTGCTCCAACTCATGAAACAGCATATTTTCTTCCTGTCCAAGTGGAGGGCCTGAGATGCCTCCAGTCCACACATCTCTGGGAGCTAAGTGGTCCTCTCAGGTAGAAATATTGCACTTGGAAATCACAGGCTCCCAGCATTTGTAGGAGATGCGGTGGTCAGCTCTACAAATAAACTACTGAAGTGACATTCAGAAAAGCTCTTCATCCAAAAACATCTCAAAAGTGCTTTATAAACTTTGCACTTATGGGCTGTGCAAACTATAACTTCCATTCTTGATCGGGTCTGTGCAGAAGCATTTGCTCAGGCAGCTGCTGAGGAAGATGAAGGGTGCAGGCCTAGCATCCTAGAAAAGCCCAGCTAAAGCAAAGAGACTTGGGTACCTGGTGAATGCAACTCTGTGAGAAAACACTGAAACAGCCTGAGCAAAAGACATCAAACCAGGTTAACCAAGCTCCATCCTGGGACAAACTCAGCAAGGCTCCCATGACAATAATACAGGCATATTTCCTTCACTGTCAGAACTAAAAACACAGGTATGAAGATTTGTGTGTCTACCACTGCATTTCAGCCTGCTTGTACAGGTAAATACAGTAACTCTGACTGAAAGATGGCCAAAATGTAGAAGAGGGGGCAATTACTGCATTGGGCAAAGCATGTTTCCAAAGGGCAATCAAGAATACCTTCTGGAGACACCCTAAATTAAAAGGTGTGAACAAGCAGCCCTCTCAGGCATCCTCATGGCTTTTTTTTTATTTTTTTTTTTTCTAACATACCCATGGAGAGCAGAATTTGGGTGGGAAAGCCTTCCTTTACAACACCCACCTCTATGGATGTCAGCAGGCAGCACAGGACCAGGAGCACTGGGGTGCGATGTTGTTCAAGCTCATCCTGTATTAACACCAGTGGTCCCCATTCAGCTGCTCTGCTGACACCCATTGCATACAACTGCCAAGCCAGATCTGCTGGGGAATTAGGCATTGGTCGTGAATGTGCCCTAGCGCTTGATATTGGTAGTGTGAGCTAGGAAGCATCTGATGGACTCAAAAAACAAGAAAAGACCGGTCTGATTATTTTGGATGAGCCTTACCAGTATCAGAGGAGGGGACAGCCTTGGTGAGGATGCTGTCGGTGATGGTGCCCAGCGTGCTGAAGGCAAACACCAGCGGCACCGCAATGATGCAGTAGTGCCACACAGTCCTCATCAGGGCCTAAGGGACAGGACACAATGGACCAAGGATCATTAGAGAGAACAAGTGTTGACTTTGTGGCAAGAAACAACCTAGACAAACATAAGGAGTCAAACCCATGATTTACTTAGGTAAATTGTGGGAGCCACAAGTGATACATGATGGCGTGGCTTTGGCTGTTGCAGGGTCTTTCATAGCCCACCATTTGTCTGCAGTGAAGTATTCCAAGCATGTGGAGCAAGTAGCAGATGATACCCTACAATCTGGCAGCACGTTTCTCTGGCACTGCTGTGGGTATTTTTAGCATCTGGGAATTAGTGACGTCCCTTTGCCCTTCCCCCCATCTTCTGTCTCTTGTCCAACTCCTGAGGAAATGCTGAATAGCAGATGCATGTGGTGTACTTCAGGAAGCCTCCATTACTTACACAAAACAGCCTAGAGAAGGCATTTCAGTTCATTATCATAAATAATTAAAACTAAACTGAGTTTGTCAAAATAAATGAGTGCTCTGCATTATGTAACATCGTACCTTTGGGATTTCTAATCCTGTTCTGCTGCTTTCTCTCTAATAAATTCACCAAATTCACTAATCTGGAATAGGTCTCCTGGCCATAAGTGCACATTAGCAAGCATAATTAGGTAGAGTAATGATTTTGTTATTGCACATATTCTTAGTGGAGACATCCCTCCAGCTGGTCTAATACTGAAACAAAAGTGCTGAGGCTCCCTTAAGCTGTGGGGCTAGAGTGGCTCATTCACAAATCCTGCTGGTCAAATGAATGGATTTCTCTGGGGCATGGAAAGGAAATTCCCCCTTTCTTGCAAGTCTCCTGCCCTCACCTGTGTCTCAAGGTGTGTTATTGTGGCTGCAAAACATTTTTGTCACTGGTTTAGCCAGAAGTTTCCTTTTCTGGAGTTCTCTCTCTCAAGATCTGGTCCCTGCCTCTTGGCTATAGAAGATGGAGAAGCCCAGAGACATTGCTCGCTAATGACTTGGAAATACTGAGGTTTATTCCTAGTTCCCCTCTAGACTCGCACACAGCCAGATTTCTCTCCTTGGAGGGGCTGTTTGCCTACATTTTGGTTAAGATCTAGGCACCTCTGATTAAGGAACCAGAGAACAAAGACAGAGGAACAGGTATTTGGTTTATCAACATTCAGACACAGAGAAAATAACTCCTTGCTAGGGCAAATGTCATTGCAGGACAACATTGCAGAGCTCAGAAAAAAACAAAACAGCTTTAACCCAATCCTGCTTTGCATGAATTCCCTCATAGGCTGAAGCAATTGGGCAGAAAAGACCAGAGCAAGGTCAGTCCTTCTGTAAAACCAGGGGAAATTGCTCTTTGCCCCCCTGGGAAAGATCTGAGCCAGGCAGACCCCAGTCTCTTCTGCTCCTCAGCCGCTGAGTAGGTAGCACTCTTTTTGCCCTGAACAGATCTGAAGGCATTTTTCAGGGGAGGGAGGCAGGATCAGGAGTTTCAGCAGACAGACCCAGAAAGTACACGCCTGGGAAATGCGGGCAGCGAAGCAGGATGAGGCACAGCTATACCTTCACACAAAGAGAAGAACTTCCCTGTCGCAAGAGCCAAGTCCTCCTACACCCCTGCCCACATGCTCCTGGATTGCATCTGCGGATCAGACACTGCTCTCTGGGGCTCTCTGGGGCTCTCCCCTTCTCGCTTTTTCCAGGTGTTACTATATTGCCGAGCTCCCAGCCCACCCCTTCCCTTCTCCAGCTGTAGATTGCTGGGAACATCCTGCAGTCTTTTCCCACCTGGACTGCTGTCTGTCTGTCTACTGCCACTGGTGCCAGTATCCCATAAACCCTTTAGCCCACCTTTCAGTGATATAAAGATGGGTTTCAGAGTGTCTTTTATTAACAGCTAGGCCTTTTCCTCACTTCCGTCCTTTGGGGAGAGGATCTGCTTTGTTTGAAGGCCATGTACAGCAAGGGCACAGCAGGCGGGATGCTTCTCTACCAGCAGTTGTGTGGGATTAAAAGCTTAACACATCAGCCTCTGCATTTGGGGCCTGCTGCTGTGACGGTACTCATCCCCACCGAGACGGAAAGCCACCCTACAAATGGATGTTTTCTTAGCAGCTGCTTGAACAGAGTGCTTTTTAATAAAGCATCCCCACCAAAGAGAATCACAGCTGCATTTGCCTATGAATAGTTCTTGTGGGAAGTCATTGCTGACCCTTGTCCCCAGGCCTGTGATGTCAGGCTGTCCACAGCCTTCTGTGCTTAGCATAATTGCCAACTTTAAAACTATTTCCTTTCCTGGCTCCCCTCCCTGTGCAGCTGATGTCAGCCTCCTCGCACTGGGGCATTAGCCACCCTGTGTGCCACTCCACTGCTATCAAGGCTTACTTTCCTACCTCCAATTAACTCCAGCCTTCCCTCTCGGTGAGACCTCAACACCCTTCCTGCACTATGTTCAGGATCACCAAGCACTGCACAGATGTCCCATGCTAAGGTGACATGTCAATACCAACCAAAACTGTGTGACACCAGTCAGGAGGGACATGTTCTGAGTGTCCTACCTGCTGGCAGCATCTCTGTGAGCCCTGAAATCCCAGAGAGGTGACTGCGCTCCACCTGCAGAGCAATCCCTTCGTCTGCATCCATCCTGCCTTCCCAGCCTCATCTCACACATGCGGTTTAGCCTCAGATTAATTAAGGTGCATAGGTGCCTCATCTCATCTATCTAGCTGGGAACCATGAAGTTCAATACCCTCCAGGTCTTGTCCCTGACTTCCCTATGGCTGTGGCACAGCTGTGGGAATGGCATCCATCTTACCCACGCCAGTGAGAGCACCAGTGCCCTAGCAGCAAGGCTCGAGGCCAAATCCTGCAGGGAATGTCTAAAGGCTGACGCAGCTCAACCATCCTTTTGACCCATCTCACTGCTAGGAACCAGCGCACACCTTTCCTCCATTGCCATGGCTGGGCAGAGCTATCGATTCTCTGAATGTGACTTATCTGAGCAAACACAACTACTGGCAGAGCTACCTACATAAACTCGTTTTTCCAATTACCAGTTGAGATTGGCATCAACTATTGCCTATGCAGACACAACCAGTGACAGGTAACATCACTTACCCCAAAACAGAGGATCAAAATTATTGCCTTGCTACCTCCTTTCCCAAATACTCTCAGCCTGGGGGAGTTAGGCAAAAATAAGGCCCCAGAAGTAAAACACACAACCTCCGTTGTCTCACAGCAGCATACAACCGCAATGATTTTCCGGCCGCCCCCCCCCCCCCCCCCCCCCCCCATCTTAGTTTACTTTCTGTGTAGTTCAGGAAACGCAGCTGCTGACAAGACCAGGGGCAGTATCTCTATGCAAAGCAGTGACTCAGGAGGGACTTAACAAGTTTCTGTGTGAGATTAATAATTTTTTTAACCCCCATAACTATTACTCACGTGGCTCTTTATTGTTCTTTTGAGTGGTGCATATGCTGAGCACGGCTCTGTTTACACAGAGGTCCAGGGGAGCTGGTTTTCACCTGAGGACCACCCAGCAAGGCCAGTGGTGGCATTTCAAGGGGCAGAACTTGCAGCCAGGTCTCATGGACCTTGTGCCACTGCATTACTAAAAAGCATCATGGATGATTTCACACTCAGCCTTACCATGCCAAGGCCCACGACAGCAAAGACGAAGACACTGAGCTTGAGCAGGGTCATCTCTGTGCAGCGGCTAGTGAGTTTTCCAATGACCAGACCCTGGACAACCTGGGAAAGAAGCACACGAGCACTATAAAGCCCAACATATAACAATTCAAACAAACTCAAAAGAGAACTGCTACAGTGCTTTAAGCAAAAGAAAGCTGGCAAATGGGTTATGCCCAGGGACCTGGCTGTCACGGTAAGTGGCTGGAAGATACAATCCATTATTTCAAGCATTTTTCATCCTAGGAGTAGATCCATCCCATCAGCTTAAAGTCCAGGGTGCATGTCTGAGTTTGCCACCACTGCCTGTTCACCAGAGCTGACTGAAACTTTCTAGACACTTGCAGATACAAATGAATTTTTCTAAGTCACAATATTTTTGTGGAATACAGTTAACACCAAGGTCTTCATCCTTGGCAAGTCCTTCCAAAGAAAAAAATGTAAATTTGTATGCAGAGAAAGAAAATGCCTCCTTTCCTGTACATTCACTTGCCGTTATTTTAAACTGTAAGTACACAAATTGGGTGGTTCATAATTTTGTGGCAGAAAACGAGTATGACAGAGATGCTAATACCCAGTCCCAGCAGTATGTGCAGATATAAGGGTCGGGGAACGAGTTTTACAGATTTTAAATAAAAAATGGGGCAAAGGGGGAGGGAAGGAGGAGCAAAAAAGTTTAAATCCCAGGAATTATTTGGCTTTTCCAGCATGTTGACAAGCAGAGATTCCTTTTTTATTTCTTTGTTCAGCATCTCCCATATTTCAGTGATGCTGTCCTCTCATAGTCAAGTGGACTTGAGAGGACAGAGATCACTGTGAAAATGAAGCCTGATTGGCTGCATTTCAGGGAAAGAACCTAGCCCTGTCTTGAAAGAGTTTGTCTGATCCAAGCAAAAACCCCTCCGACTTGAAAGAAGAGCTCTAGTTCAAAATGCTTTCATTGGTGGGATGGTTTCGTTTCAATGGCAGTCCATCCTGGAGAAAACCTTGGTGCTCTGCTTGGACCTGAAATGATGCTACACCATGCTCAACCTTACTGTGCCAGTCCTAAGGGTGAAACCCAAACTCAACTGAAAGGAGTGCAAAATAAATAAGAAGTTACTAAAAAGAAAGGAAACATTAATCTATGACAAGCAGTCCAGAAAAAGCAATTTACTAAAATTTAAAAAAAAATAAAGAGTAAATGGAAATAGAGTGAAAATAAAGCTGACATAGAGAACAACAGCTGCAAATTCAATATATTTCCAACAGACTACAATTTAATGGAAAATATCAAAATTTGACCCTTCACTTTGCTTCAGAGCACAACTGATTTTTGATACAAGGGCACACTGCACCAAGCAGACATTCTGGTTCCCAGTAAATGCATTTCCTGCTGCTTTTCTGGCCCCATCCCCACCTTCAGGCAGGGCTTGAGAGCTCAGCTCACGTGTGCTTTGCCACCCTGCGACATTGGCACAGGGCCCACATGTCTCTTCAGGGTTGTGTCACATGCCAAGTGGCCTTGGGGACACTGGCAGACCTGCTGTAGTGTGGTGGTTGGGTGATGCATGGGGTGACAGGAGTCATCCCTGCTGAAAGCTTTGCCATGAAGACCAGAGAAGGCTGATACCGGCCCCAGCAGCTCCTACTCGGGGGTGGGTGGAGAAGCCACTGAGTAACGCTTCGTTAAGCTCAGCGCTCCTAAAAAAAGGAATCATCATTAACTTTTTGCAACTTCCCAGTCCCTCCTGCTGCCTTGCCCCAGTCAAGGCTGTGCTGAGTCACATGGGATGGGGGCTGAGCCCTGTCACAGGGCAAGGCTTGACTCAGCGGTGGCATCACCCGAACCTCAGTTTGACTGCTGAGCTACTGGAGAAAGGAAATGTTTCTCAATTTGCCCAGACTTGAATAGTATATTTAATTGGGACACACCATGCAGGCACAGCCCAGTCCCAGCCCTTCCTTGAGTCACCGGGGTATATCATTAGCAATGTCCCAGAGCAGCCCAGTCTGATGGCCATGGGAGCGGTTTACCCAAAAACATCTCCATCACTACACGTGAACACCTAAGCCCTGGCAACAAGCAAGACTGCAGCAAAGCTAGGCTCTGAGCTGTCAGGACCTGGAGACATGTAGACCACCAAGGTGTCCCCAGAGTGAGCAGGGCAGAGGGACAGTCTTTTTTCCAAGGCTGGCTTTCAAGCACAGGCTTCCCCATCACTGCTGAGCAAACCAGCTCAGTGATGGGACTTTTTCCAAAGGCAAGTGTCAGCCCAAGTCACCTGCTTTCCCTCTGGGGAAACAGCCATCCTTGGGTTATAAAGATTGCAGCCTCCCTTCTAGTTATATGGGTTGCCTGACTCCCTCCCCAGCATGGTCACTGCCAATCCAGCCATGAGCTTGAGTTTGGACACTGCATTTTGACTTTGGCACTGGATAATGTTTCCAGTCACCAGAATGTCTGACCTCACTTCCAGTCTGAATTTAGACCTGAAAACCCATTATTTCCAGCCTGCAATTTTCCCTGGGTGCACAGTCCCTGGGTTTGCATGAGCAGAAGTCACCTGCACAGGTACATTTAGGAAGGAGGGAGCAAAAGGTAGTTCATGCGCATTCTCCCATGTAAGGTTTTCAATCTGACAGGGATTTTGCCAGGGAGTAGTGGGGGCATCTGAGATGACTTATCCACCACTGCTCCCATGGACAAGCCCTGGTTGCACTGATGATGCAGGGATTCATCCTTTTTTTAATTACTGCTCCTGCATTCTAGGCTTTTCCCTTGCACTTAAGCCCCCTTTGAGATTGACTTGTGATGGGCTTTCCTCTCCTGCATTTCATTTTGCTTGGACTGTGCTTGCCTTTGTAACCTGAGCTCCTTTGAAGTCGTGGTACAGTGTACCTGGCTGGAATGCCTTCTGTCATCAATAAACAAAAGAGAGAGGAAATTGTTTGCAAGTGAAATAACAGGCACTGCCTGTGGCTGTGTACACATGTCACAGGAAAAACCAACTCATCTTTTTTAATTTCCCCCCTCCTTCTTTAAAGGCAAATAAGTCTCCCAATAAATGCATAGGAACAGCCAAATCTCCTTGTTGTTATGCTGGATTCACCAACCTGGGAGCTCATTACACTAGTTCACCTGATCATGTATAAAAATACTCTTTACCTCTATCACCACATTTGATTTCTGTGAAGACAGCAGCTCCAGTTTGCCCAGAAGAGCCAACTATCCACTTTATTGTTAACCTCATTAGCAAATTTCAGGAATCCCTTGCAGGATGGAAAAGGCTGTTGCTGTTTGAAGGCTTAAGGTGCTAGTTTTTGGAAGGCTTTTGAACAGTGAAGTCTTGCTGCACGGAGCTACTGCTGAGCAGGACTGGCACCCACACGTAGCTAACCTCATCAGTGGAGGTTAGAGGAGTTAGGCAGATGATCGCATGGTCCTGTGTGCTCAGCAGGCACAAGACTGTTTCTACAGATTCTTCCATCAGCACTGATCAAAAGCTTGACAGAACCCAGCAATAAAATAAATACCCTTTCACCCTACATTTTGGAAACGAGAAGACATGCAAAGGTTGGAGAAGCAGGTGCAGATAAGCTGGTACAGCCAAGCAGAGAAGATGCAGGGCCCCATGCCTAGCGCAGATAGCATGATTCACATCAGAGGCAGCCTCCCACACAGTGGACCTGTATCTCTTGCCTTTGAAACTGTGCCTGTCTAGCAGTTCACAGGCCGAGCGCAGTGCTGGCTGGGCTGGGACGCGCGGATGGGCACCAGTGGGGCAGACCACAGTGGGCACCAGAAATCATAAGGCTTTTCTACACAGGTTGAAGATGGTGCAAAACTGTGGGAGGGTAAAGGGAGGTAATTTACTGACACAGGGATGCCAGAAAGCGCTTGAGAAGTAGTTCAGGTCTTGCAGAGGAGCAGAAGGGCAGTGGGACTGGGAGGAAAGCTGATGGTGAGGACCAAACTGCTGAAGGCAGCACTTTGCTGAGCAGGGGGAAGAGGATGGTATGTTTTGCAAACTCCAGCCTAACCACTTTCTTTCCCCCTCCAACCCACCCCCTTCCACAGATTTAAATCCTTCAAAGACAGGAAAGTGGAGAACTTTCTGTTTGTTGTTGCAAGGTCCTTTCACAGAGTGGGTTTTCCCCCTAGTCATACCTGGATGTAATTAAATCCCCAGCTCTTTAATCATCTCTTTTGCTGTGCGGGGATAAGAAAAAAAGCAAGAGGGACAGACTGGTGATAAGATGATATGCAATGTAAATCTCTCCTCCAGGAATCTCTCTCATCTTTTCAGGATCACTTTGTACCAACTTGTCCCTCCAGAAGCTGCACAGCTAGAGGTGGAGTTTGTATAACAATACAAATTTAAATGCAGTAAATAGAACAGATGTCTTATGATTTCTTGATCCTCAGGGTTATAAATATCTACCCCTTTGTCCCACCCAGAGTTTTTGTTTTGTGCATTTTGCTTTGGTTTTTTTTTTGTGAGAAAAAGTTCTTAAAGCAAAGCTTTCCCCACCCCCTCACTCATCTAAGCATCAGATGTGATTTTAGATACCAACCAGGGACTCCAGGTATTTCACTTGCCTAATCCTCCGGCAGCATTTTCCAAGCCAGATACTACACCTGGAAGTTCTCCATGCTATTGCACTTGCAACTCCTGAAAAGAGAAGCCAGAGCCTAGCCTGTTTCTGCCCATTATGCAGTTAAATTATTTTAAGTTATTATGAAATTAGTTATTCTCTGGAGGGAGACTGAGTGGCATTTCACACCGCCAGGCATTCACTATGAGGGCAATTTCATTCACACGGCTTCTGAGATGAGAGGACTCTAGAAGCCCAGCCCCGGAGGACAGAGGGATTGCGTCCCTGATGGGCTCTCACACTTCTTGCCTGGAGAGCCACCAGCAATCAGATAAAGATGCTTCAAACATGCAATGAGCAAGGGAATCTCTGCAGTGCAAGATGCCCAGTGCAGAAGTACTCCTCTCACTGTCTGCCTTCCCCACCTTGTTTTGTTATCTCCCACCCAACTCCTCCCCTTGACTTATGCTGGCACAGTCCCAGCTCATCAGACAGCCCCGTGCTAACCAGGGTGCTTCAAGTATTACTTCAGAGCCCCAGATTGTTTGAATTACCCTCCACTTGCTATTTTCACTTTCCCATCAGCCCATTCTAGTCTTAGAAATATTCCATTTTCTAAGCAACAACTTTGTTTCTTCATCAGACAGCTCTTTGTCACAGTGCTATGATACCGCCTTTCCTGCACACCCTTTGTGACCTCGTTTGGCTCTGTCCAGATCCAAAATTGAGCCCCTTTTCCACCTTCACTGCACTTAAGTCTGCTCCACACTTTTCAATATCCTCTGCTATTAGATGATTCTCTTTGCCTAACCACAAATGGTAAATTTGTGCCAGTTCCTGGGCCAGTGCTTCATCCAGAGAGCCAGGAAGCCCTTGTTCCCTATGGACAGGTACTACCACAGGAGCTTTTACAACAGTGCATCACCAGGTGTATTACTTTGGGCCACTCAGGTCTCCTTAAGACATACTGGGAGCAGCAGCAAGGCAAACTATGTCTCTCCATGCCAAACAAGTGGCAGTCAGAAGATGTACTAGTAGGGTGAAGGGAGACCATGCTGTGGAAAGCCATCTTGGCAGAGGGAAGAGGGTACCAAGCATGCCCTGTGCCATGAGCGGTGGCTACTGGCAATACACAGCATTGCGAGCCACTGCTAGCACCAGCTGAGCCCCTTCACTGCTAGCAAGTGCCATGAACCATTCCCATATGGGCAGAGCTGATGCTTAACAAAGGGGGAACCAAGACAGGTGCTGTGGGGAATAACCAGCCAAAACCTATGAGGTTGCCAGGCTCCAAAAGACAGCCTGAATTCATCTTTGAAACCTGTAAGAATCTTCTCAGGCATGGTACACCCCATAAACTTTGGAGGATCATAAAGTAACAAGACAGGACTAAGCATGATGAAGTGAGGCTGAGGGGCTTTGGATGGGATCCCTCAGGAAGGCTGCCTGAATTAGCAGGGCGACTAACATCCTCCATCTGCAAATGTGGCAAATGCTTTGCCTCCTTCAGGGTTGGTGTTTCTGTGCTAATCTCCCCATGAAAAGAGCTGATGGAGTTTGTTTTGAGTTGCCTATTTAAAATGAGGTAGACTGACCCAGAGCCATTCAAAATCTCCTTTCTAAGTGCTTTGCAGCTGTCTTGAATGGGATGAGTAGTGAGACAGAGATGTTTATAGTTCATTGGCCACTTCTCACCACAGTAAGTAAAATGAGGCTGAGAAGCTGAAAAATTAGGCTAAGTTATTGGAGGGCAATATCCTCTCGGTAGGAGAGGAAAGCGGGAAGAGACCATTGCTATTTGAGTCACCCTGGGAGTGCTGATCAGGCTGGGAAACAGGGCTACAACTTTACCTCTTGTGCAAGTGGAAGATGTTAGTTTTGAGATTTCATTAAAAAAATAGAAACTACAGTAACACACACAAAAAAAAATATTAGTAAAATTTACCAGGAATTGGCAGAGCAGGCAATGCTTTTGTCAGCATAAGACCTCTGGGGAAGAGCTGAGTAACGGGCTCAGCTAAGTCTTGCTCGCTGTGCTGTTCCCTGTGTATCTCTGAAGCTGGTTAGTGCATGTAAAGTGTGCTAGGAGTGAACGAGACCCTGGGATATGGTACTGGTTGTGCTGTGCAACCTCCCAGGCACTGTGTTTGATGTCTACAAGGAGGTTAAAAGTAAATGGGACAGGGTTCAATTCTTATTTTGCCCTTCATTTCTGTGATGTCAGCTCCCATCTATAAAAGTCCTTAAACTTGACCCATTTTCAGGTGCAGGGAGAGATGCAAATAGGGGAGATAGGTTTCCTCTAATAGTAGGGCTCAGAGAAAGTCCAGGAGAACGAGAAAACCCTCACAATGTTTTATTGACAGGCAAACTAAGGAATAAGAAATCAAAGCTGAGGATCTGGTTGATGAAATTCATTGAAAAGGACATTATATTCCTTATGAATAAAGCTATAATTTACTTAGTGGAGAAGCGAATCAGCAGATATTAATCAACTTTCACCCATCCAGACTGGTGGAATTTGCTTGCAGCTTAATCTGCATTTATATCTCCAGCAGTATCAATTCACTATATAGCAGAAACAAATGCATCTGAAACACCCACTTAGGCATGAAGGCACACAAGCAGTTCTGTGGCTAGGCAGGACAGCGCTAGCACACATTGCATTCCCTGCATACATCATACTCTGGAGGAACCCCAACAGAAAGCAGCCATAAAACATTAGCCTAGTCACTGTTTGCAAGAGATATTTTTGGGTGGTTCTAGCCAGAGACCTGACCTGAAAGTAAAGACATAAATTCTAATGTTTTACAATAATTGAAAAGCCAGATGGTGAGAATATTGTTTGCGCCAGTTGAGGATCTGGTCCTGCATAAACCAGATCAGACCTTGGAACAGCCAATGACAAAGTGGAAAGAACAGGTGACAAAGCAGAGAACAGTGCTTTGCAAGCTCTCAGGTGAGATGGCTTTACTGCCACCAGGAATTAGCAATTTTTCCCTTTTGTGTTTGGCATTGTGACTGCAAACCCCAATGCCCCATCATGAAGAGGAGAGGTTTGCATCTTATGACCACTTTACTCCTATGTTTCTGATGTCCAGAGTTCTGCACTGTAGAATATTAGCAGCAACATGGACAGAAACTGCACAGACAGATGAAAGAAAACTGCCTGGCTGACAAAAACTAGTTTCTGTGTTAAATGTCCCGAGGCAGACTCCCCAGCAAGGCAGATGCTGCACCTGAGCCTGTAGGCCGCTTGTGGGTTAGATCATGGTAATAAGCATGATGGGCCTCTGTGCGATGAAACCTTCTGACTGTGGGAAGGATCGGGTCTCTGGTTAGCACTAACATCTGATTATTTGTTAGGGAGCACGGTGAATGTTATAATTCCCATATCTTCAAGGCTGTATCTGTTATGTTGGGTACACTGGCATGGCAGTGCAGGTAACCTTATCTATAGCAGTTTCAACCAAACTAACCTGGGAAACAACAGCTGTGAAGAGAGACAGATATCCCAGACATAACAGCAGTGTCCTAAAGACAGATATCCTGGATCCAATAGCAGTGTCCAAGCTCCACCTACTACTACACCTTCTACTATGCGAAGCCACTCCTGCTGCAGCTGTACAAGTGCTATTACTGCCCATGTTACCCAGCTTGAAACAAGCACACCATAGCCATGTGGCAAATCAGAATAGATTGTAAATATATGTAACAGGGATTTAACTGATATGTCTAATTCAAGAGCATAGTTGATGGGGAGCTCCTCTACATTCAAAGGGGGAAAAATATAACAGAAGGTGACTTGGCCCCGCTAAAACCTGAGTAATTCCTGTAGATTCTGGTCTAGGAGATAGCATGCAAAGGCTAACACAGGGAAAGCCTCTGTTAGCAGAGGTGTTTGGGTTAGAAGCATACTTGGGAGAGCAGCTACTGATCACCCCAGTTGTCACGCTGTGTTCCGTGCTGTGTAACAGCAAACAGGGTTGTTTTCCAATGAGACTGGATGAGAGGATGTATCCACCTGGCAGCAGGTGTTGAACTCACAGGACCAAGAGACAGCTAGTCCAAAGCCACCCTCCCAGAACAGACATGGCAAAGGCACCAGCTCCTTAGCTCCAGCCAGTTTACTCTGTAGACTACACTTGCTGATGTACAGCCCTATTCATCAAGTACCCAGATTTGGTGAGACGAAGGCAACACCCTGCCAAATCCAAATCACATGGAAGTAAAGTTGCCATTTCCCAGATGAGAAGCTCCTCCACATTGCACAGGAACTCTGAACAATGCCCAGGAAATTAAGGCGGATTTAATAACAAGACCACCCTCCTTCAGGATATTGCTTAACTTGCATTCCTACCTTGAGGCTTACTTGTAACCATCTGTTGCTTTTTCTGTAAAATTATTAGCCTCTTCCTCCAAAAGGAACATTCTGCTATAACACAACATCTTTTGGTTTTGGCCCTGCTACTGCCTAATTCAGCTGACCTTTCCCTTTTACCCATTTTGGTAGTCTCCATGTTCTGTTGCCTGCCTTTTTTAATTTTTCTTTTTCAGTAAAGTACAAGCTTGTTGTGCTTGTCTCCATGCAGCAGAAACAAGTCCTTCCTCTACACTGAAGGGATCTGTGAAAATGCCAGTAAGATCATCTACTTACATAAATTTACAGGGTGCTACTAGGTAAATGTAAATTAGCTAAGCTCCACCAGGAAAACCTTAGTCAAGGCACTTCAGCTTCAATGTAAGTTTTGTTACAAAAATCAGGACAATCTGTCAGTCCGGTGAAATTTTAGCTCCACAGCTTAAAGATCTGCAAAGAGAGACAGTGGCAAGAAAGCTTTCAGAACTCTCCTTGTCCTTATTTCTTCCCATTACAAGGAACAGAATAAACGTGGAGTCACTTCTGTTTTTGCAGCCAAGTACAGCACGCAGGATTTGACTGTCAATATTATACCTGGATTTGGAAGAGCATATGTCAAAAAGGTAGTACTTTAGATAGTGGTGGGGCAAGAGGTGTACTTCCACTTCACTTACCATTTGAAGGACACCGAAGTATGACATCAGGTATCCAGACTCCACTGCTTCCAAGCCAAAAAAATCCATAGAGATGATTGAAAACATAATCAGGAACAAACCTAGAGGAGGGGTTAATGAAAAGCATACATAAATATTCTTGCACTGCATATAGTGGCCCAGACCCTGCTCCCAGTCACCCCCATTATGAGTCAGTAGCTCTCCCTGGGATTGCCCGGACTGGATATAAACACAAGCAGAATACTATTCAAAGTCATTGTAGTAATTTAATCTTTAAATGTTAACTTTTTTATCCCCCTTACTTTCATCTTTAAATAATGTAACTATGTAGGCTGTAGATTCAGCTGTTTATTATAAACTGGTAAATATTTGTATCATCGAAGCCAGGCTAACCATTAAGACAGCAAGAAAGCATTTGTTCAGACAAGACTGTAACCATTAAAATAATCTGATTGGATGCCCCACCTCTTTTACCTGGCTTTAGATTTTCACCATGGGGAACAACTCAATGACATCAGACTAAATACAGAGATTTCACTGCACACCTCGGCAATGGTGAAATATCTCTCGCTTGGACCGACAGCAGTGTCGACACAAGCAGTCAGGAAAGTACTCACAGAAGCAGCACAGGTTGGGTTTGCTTTTCAATTAAGGCAATTTCTGGAAAGTGTAACAGAAAATGCCTACTTGCTTAATCTCACATGAAAATACAATAGTGTGCATTTCCACCACCACCAAACATACACAATTATGCATACCCACACTCCCATCAAGTTACAAATATTATGACAAAATATTGCTCTCAAGGAGTGGTATAGGGAAGGAGGATGCTGCCTCCCCTCGTGTCTTGTGTACCTCAGATGGACCAAGACAGTAGGAAACTGGGGCTCTCTGCACGTGAACAACCACACAATGTGCCCGTTGGAGAGCACTGATTCTGCTGGGGAGAGAAGAAGAGAGCAGATGGCCTTTAGGGGTCCTACCCTTCCTTGTAGGATCCTCTGAGGTACAATGACTGGGTAAATAGGGAGCTGTGGTCCTCTTGTTCCTGAAGAAAACAGACCCCAGGAGGACTAAGAAGACAGCTTGTAGCCTGGAAAAATGAATCACTAGCCCTGTGGCATGGGAAGGATTTGCTGGCATTTCCTGGAAGTGTGAGAAGAGCTATCCCAAATTGCTGATTGAAATGCTGTGGAAGACTTGCACCCTAACAAACCAGCACAACTCCACAGCATTTCAGCACCCCAGAGGCGCTGCTACCAGTGGAGCACCTGCAGCAATGAGGACCTCCCTCCAAGCATCCCAAGCCTTTGCCTGGAGGGGCTACCACCCTCCCACAAAGCCTTCCTGAACCCCACTGGAGACACCTTTTCCTCCCATAAAGGGGACAGCTGAACTCCAACTGGCCTCATGGCACGGGGGGAGAGGATGGGGGCAGGAAGTTCTGCCCTATTCTGCCACTCTCCAGATACTTGGAGAAAGTGCTGGGGAGCTGGGGTTCATGAAGATTTATGGCTTCACCACACCCCTCTGCAGAGGGCACCCCGTCATTATCCAGTTACTTTGAAATCACTCTCAGCTCAAGCCAGCTGAAGGTAACATGCAAATAACAGTATTTACTCACAACGTCCAAACCAGGCAACAGGGTTGTACATGTTTATAAAAGGCACACGTGAAGAAATGAAAGAAAACCCACACTTCGTTTCACTTGCAGAAAGATTAGATAGAAGCGGGAGCTCCCCCTTCATCCTGCTAGCGTGCTGCAGGTACCACCTAGGAGAGGCTCAGCCTTCCTACATACATGATGCTTCCTCCTACTACCACACACCAGCTTCTACAGCTCCTCTATCCTTTCAAGTCACTCATGGAGTTCAGGCAGATTTTGATCTTTCCTTCCAATGAGCTGATTTCTTTTGGAGGCTGTGCTTTCTAATTAGGGTTACACATTGAATGTATCTCCTGGAGATGCGAAGATCTCTTCCTTAGATGGGTGTCACGCCCTGTGCTCACATGGTCATTTAAAGCTACCTGGACAAGCAAAACCCCCTTCTCCCTGTCTTCTTTCAGCAAGTAGGTGTGTCTCTCCCACTGGCCACACACTTCTTCGTGAAACCCATAAGGCGAGCCCCAGACTGAACTCAAAACATTTCATGCTCATAGGAACAAGCACTTCTTACAAAGATCCCATCTGGGTAGGCTGCAGGTCAACTGAGTGCAGCCACATGAGTAATGTACCCATCCTGGGGTGGGCTTCCTAGAGTAGTGTGTGCCCAGGCTCTTCTGGGAACACCCAAAGCCCATGGAGGAGCTGCCCAGATAGGCCTTAATCCATGCTGCAAGGCTCAGGTTTTCAACTGGAAAAGAGATGGAAATTAGCAAAAGATATCCTCAGAAACTTGGCTTTCTTTTGAGGGGGTATAAATAAGGGGTGAACTCCTTAGGAAACTTGGCACCAGTGGGATGAATAACTAGGGCTACACAGCAGAAGGCAGATAAATGGCTTGTGAGATGTGATAAAGACAAGGAAAAGCACAAGGAGACACAGGAATGCAAACTGTATTTTCGAAAAAATGACACGGCATTTCTAAAGGCAGCCAGCCTTTAGAAAACTAAAACTAAACTGGCAGGCCAGTTTAGCAATCTCTACTGAGAGCCAGTGTGAGAAGGCAAGCACCGCCTCTTGGAGCCTGTCTCAGCCCTCCTACACTGGACTGTAAATGTGATGGGATACAGAGCCCTGGGGCTCACTGCAAAATCTGGTTCCACATGTGAAAAAAAAAGTCCTTTTAAAAATGGAATGCAGGTGCTAAAGCAATCATGTTAAAATCAAAGGGATTAGGCAGCTTTTTATCAGTATTTTCAAGGTCCTGGTGCTGTGTTTTTATCCTTGCGTTTTCTTTTCTGTCTCTTATCTACTGCATTGCAATGAAGTTCTTTTTTCCCAGGTAAGTTGCGAACATAATTTGGCCGTGCTGTAGTGTCCATCCTCTGGCAGCTACCCTCCTGCAAGAGGCACAGAGCCCGTGTCTCTGCTTTTATGCAGCACAGGGAGGAGGTTCCCAGCCCTGCAGCCCTGCTGGGGAGGCCCTTTTGGTCTCAAACAAGCTAATTTTAGACAACAGTGAGATTCATAAGGAACAGAAGGTTTTCTTCTGTGTATATCACAAACTTGTTTACAAGGTAAATGGAGAACAGTCTGTAATTTGGTTAATCTAATTAATTATACAGTTGCAGCCTGGAGATGAAAGGCAAATGTACTCATGAGGAGCTCAGCCTCCAGTTGAGAGCTGCAGAGAAGTAGGTGATGGCCGAATCCCCTTTCAGCTGCCATCATGTATGGTCAATCATCTGAAGAGAGACCTTCAAAGAGAAGTCTTTAGAATTTTGGTAATTCCTCACTGAAGTGTAAGCACTATACTTGTAGCAGGAGTGCCCCAACTGAACACATACCTACTCTTATGGAAATAATCTGAGACATTTCAGTGACAGACTATTAGCCCTAGTCCTGCCTTACATCTCAGCTTCACTGTTTTCATCCTCTTTGCCTAGAAGTTCCATTGCAGTTTTGGGCAGGAGATGCTTATTTTGGTTGCATATGTATTTGCTGTGCACAGGAAAAACGTCTTCTGCAACAGGGAGGAATTTGCATTTCAGCAGGGATGACTAAAACAAAGTGCATGTTGCTTGGCCTTTGGAAAAAAGGAGGCTGCACAGGAAATTACAGTGCAGATTCCATATTGATGTGGTCTCAGGCATTTTTAAACAGAGAAATGAATGCTACTTAAAGCTGAGAAATGAGCCAGAATCAGCAAAGAAAACCCTCTTAAAAAAATCACTTGTCTCGTTCTGTGAAATGCTGTCATTTTATAAAAACTATTTTAAATAAAGTTTTAAAAGTTTAGTCTCATAAGAACCAAAAAAAGTGCACTGTGAGGGCAAGCCAAGCAGTCCATTCAGACTGTATCCTGTCTCCAGTGGTGGGGGAGGACCAACTGCTATTGCTGATCCAGCCAGTGCCAACTACACACAAAAAGAAAGAGGAAAAAAAACCCAAACAAAACCCAACAACAAACCCAAAAACCAAACCCAGAAATCCTTTACTTCCCTGAGTGTTATTCTATAGCTCCAGTCAGACTTGTTCCCCCAGAACCTTAGCAAAGAATAACAGAAGAACCTGACCAAGGCCAGAAATGCCATCCCTTTCTGATTCAGCCACTCTCCACAACCAAACCTACTTTCATTTGTAAACTGAATTTCCAGTTTACAAATTAGAATTTAATTTGTAAATAATGTTTCACTTTATTTAAACTTCATGGGCTTTTCCAGATGTAGATGAAGTGGAAAAACATTTAAAGTATAAAAGCTAAGGTATCTTAAATCCTCTCTTAGGATCCCTGCTTGGAAGGGAAGTTTGTTCAGATGTATGATGTGCACGTGTTTTGATATGCACAAAATTCAATCCTGGAAACCATAATCTAGACAAACTGCATTTTTAAGTTTGACTGGGAAAAAAAACATGAAAATGTGCGTAAGGGCAGAGAACACCACCACTAACAAGGATGATGAGCTGGCTTGTCTTTAAACAAGCAGGGGGAAAGGCAGACAAAATTAAAGATTACTAAATTGTGGCCAAGGATATGTATAACCAGACAAACTGGGAGACATGGACCATGCCAGGACAGCAACAGACTCAAAGGGAGTCAAGAGGAAAAAGCATTTACAGGGGGATGGAGTGGAGAGATTAAGTGATTTGCCAAAAGTCACAGAAGTAGCCTGTGACAAGTAGTCTGTTTTACATTAAGTCCCAGGGTTTTGGCCCTATGTACCTTCAGAGCATTTGAAAGCATCCATCATTGAGTTAGGAACTGAATCCTCACTGCTCCATGATCTAATGCAATGTCCTTTCAGTAACTTGAGACAAGCCTGGTCTACAGTGTATGTCACCTTATTTTAAATACATCAGCAATTACAAGTAATGAGTTAGATTTACCTATGGGAAGTCCAGCAAAGACTTTGACTATGAAAACTTCCATTACTCCCGGAAACTTCATCAGGCGTAGTATTTCTCTGATGCTGAACACACTGCCAGACTGTGATGTGCCTACAGAAGATGACACATTGATTAATAATCTGTATATATAGGTTGGAGGCAGAAAGCAAGAAACTCTGTGACTGTCTGCTGAGGTTCACCACCAGCTTTCTGAAAAGGCATATCTCCTTAGCATCAGCTTTGTGCCAATGGCAGGAGGCTGGGAGCTGGTACTAGGTCTGCATGCAGAGGACTGCTGTGAGACGGCAGGACTGCCTCCTATGCCAGGCCAAACTAACCCCCAGCAAGGGGTTCACATTCACCTTTTCTGAGATGCACAGCAAGCACTGGGCTGGAAAGCCTGCAAATCTGCATGGCAGAGTGGTTAACAGGTAGAGAATAATACTCTTTTAAGCATTGAAGTGTCAGCATTTCAAGGTTGGCACCTTTTTGCCTTAAAAGAAACGCCCAAGTCTTTTAGCAGTCTCTACAGCATGGCAATCCCGTGTCCCTATTCACATGCTGTTTATCAGAAACACTAAATACTTACTGTGCTCTGTCAAATGATGGTCTGGTTTTGGTTTAGCCTGCAAAGGGATCCAAAACATTGCTATCATGGTATTTATGAGATTTCCCACCAGACCGACATACATAGGAGCAAAAATGCTGCAAACAGAAAAAAAACAAGTAAGTGGATAAATATAAACAAGACATTTTTACCTCCATTCTGCAAAAGGCTCGGGCATTTGGATGAGGAACAATCCTCTTGAAGTCATAGTACATAAGGCGATAAAAGAGCACACATTCTGTCATGGAGGTTTTGGATATGACCACACTTTGAAATTTCAGCAAAAATTACTATTGGCATAAAGATCATTTATTGTTTGTATGAATAATAGGGTATAATAAAATGCTTTAAAATTGTGTCATGCAAAAACAGCTCTTCTTGGTTTAATGAAGCTTACAAATCTTTCCATTGAAAGCACAGCATCTGCTTGTTAGGATCCATCTAATCCCCCATCTAATCCGCAATTTCATTCATCTAAGTATCATCTCAGTCCTTGAAATTTCTCAGTGCAATCCAATGAATTTAAGGAAAGTGAAGAATGTACTCAAGATGATTAAGGATGGTAGAATACAGCCCAGCCTACAACCAGAAGTGAAAAAACAAGGAGCTGCTAAAAGTAACAGTCATGATTTACAAAACCTTCTGAGGGGGTGAGTAAACAGCACTTTGATTGATGCACCTCTGGAGGTGCCTAAAATCAAATCAACACTGCTTCAACTGTCCTTCACAGCCCCAAAAGCTGGGTCTTTAACAGAAGTAGAGCCACATCCTTAGATGCAGACACAGTGAACAGCTATTATTAACAGTAGTTAAACAATGATAAATAGGAACAATTTCAACTTAACTAAAAAAAACAAACACAAATCAAATAAAAGGCATTAGAATCAATAATAAATCCTCAATTATCACTGTCCTCTTAAAAGAGAAAATTAGGAAATGACTCCTAGTATTTAAGACCATGTAGGAAAATTTCAGACTCTGAAGGGCTTTAACTCTGCCAAACACATGTAGAGCGAAGTCCAGGGCTGTAAGACTGAAACTCAGGAGAGCCAAGCTGAAAACAAAGGGAGAAACTTGTTTTGTTCTTAACAGTGAGAGCAATTATCCACTAAACCAGTTCACTAAAAGCCTCCCCTATCATGGGAACCCTGTTAGTTGAAGGGTTTCATAAAGCATTTGCTTAAAACCTACTGCAGGACACAGGTTTGGGATGGGAATGCCCAGCGGAAACACCAAAGGGCGGTGTCACAGAAGGCACAAGACTGAGTGAACATCATGTTGTTTTGAGGGCATCGAAATTTAAACACCCTGGCTTCAGCAAACTAATTCATGTGTTTCAACAGGGAAAGCTTTGTAGCCATGTGGGTCTATGCAGACTCAGAGGTGACCACGCCATCCCCAGCAACCTGTGTTGTAAAAACAAGATGCAAAAGAGAGTTTTGAGCAGCCAACCAATGCTCCCTGTGAGCCTGCTGATACAGAGCAGCTTATTGACTGACCTTTTACTGCTGTTTCCTTTTCAGACCATTGTATGTTTTTCATGAATAACTAGCAGCAGTAATTGTAGAAGCCTCAAGTTTCCTCTGTGCTAGACAAAGGTATGGGCTGAATAATTTATAGAGTATTATTAAAGTCCCAGAGCAAGACAGGCAAGGATTGAGATGCAAACAACTGAGAAAAGCATTAAAGAGCAAATACATACATATACACACTTATTCTCACTAATAGCAACAGCAGAAATCCCAGCTGAATATTTTAATTCTCATTAATTATTCTTAATAACAACAAAGCCAGGTAATATCTTCCTGCAAATGCACTTAGTACAGTAATTTAGACCTGCTGCCTTCCATCCACCAAGCTGTTCTGCTAATTACCCCAGACCACAAAATTAGTCATTTACTAGATCATTAGTTTTTATTTTTAGTGCAGCAGATTGACACTTTCTGATTTAAAATTATCTGTCAAGCAGTACACAAACTACTGAAATTAACTTTGTGGACCCAAATTTTTATCCAAGAAATGTGGAATTTCTACTTTGCATTGCAACATACAGTAATAAATTTGCTAACGAAAAAAAAAAGAAGGGATGAAATAATCAAAATAAGTAGCTGCAGCTGGTTTAGTGGTTTTTAGGGCTTCTCTATTTCAAGCTTTCCTTCTGATATGGAAAAAATGCATCCAAAAATCTTCATTGGACAGAAAAACCTTCTTCAGAGTCCTGTTTTTCCTGAGGTTTTTCAGAATCCCACATGCCAACATAAATATGTTTTATCCTTCAGATGCAAGAAGAATTATAGCAAACAATGAGAAAAGGATCCCCCTATAGAATTAGAAAGCAAAAAATGCACTGCTTCACTACAAGCGTACCACTGATAATTCATTGCTGTGAAGTGAGAGAAGAACCTTGACAATTTACCTATTTGGGAAAACCTGGTCTTACTGTAATGGATTTGTGGCATTTTGTATGGCTGGACTCTGAAATCAGAGAAATCCAGTAAAATATCAAGCCCAAAACTGTATTTCCCAGACAGGCCTGAAGTGTTCAAAATCATCTGAAAACCCCTTTTCTTAACCACAGCTTTCTGTAAGCACTTCATCTTTTTCCACATATTAAACAGTAGCATTCCTAGAGGGAAAGGTGATGAAGGTGCCCACTCAGATTAGCTTCTCCACTATCTTGTCCTTTGGCAGGGATGAACTCAGGAATTGGAGAGGACATATCTGTCCCCAGGAACCCACTCCTTGCATTTCTTTGTTAGCTCATTTCAGAAAGATGAAGTGAAACCAAGGGTTATAAAAATGGCTTATCAACACAGCAGGTCATCAATTTTTTTCCCTGATGGAGCTTAATTTCTTTTTTTTCTGATGTTTCCATTACAGCCAATGAGTTACTCATGATGACACCTCCTGTGCCACCCCTCACGTACATAATCAATGGGACACATCCTCCCACTCCTATAGTAAAGAGCAACTGTTCTACAAAGCAGCAGCTGTCCTGGGTTCAGCAGTAGCAATCATTTTTTTCTCTTTCTTAGTAGCTGGTGCAGTGCTGTGTTGTGGACTTTCAGCCTGGGAATGGTGCTGATAGCACCAATGTTTTTAGTTACCGCTCAAATGTTTTAGTCTGGCCAAGGACTTTCCGAGCATCATGCTCTGCCAGGGAGGAGAAGCCGGGAGGAAGCAGAGACAGGACACCTGACCCAGGCTAGCCAAAGAGGTATTCCATACCACAGCACGTCATGCCCAGGACGTAACTGGGAGTTACCTGGGAGGGCTAGTGGACTGTGGGGTTGGAAGAGGTATCGGTCGGTGCTTGGTCAGGCTGCAGGGGGGCGAGTTATCGGTCGGCGGGTTGTGAGGTATTGTATTCTCTTCCCTTGTTATTTCTCTTATCATTATTATTATTGGTGGTAGCAGTAGTGATTTGTGACTTAGTTACTAAACTGTTCTTATCTCAACCTGTGGGAGTTGCATTCTTTTCAGTTCTCCTCTCTGTCCCTCCAGGAGTAGGGGGAGGGAAAGAAGAGGGGGAGTGGGTGAACGAGCTACCTGACTGGTTTTAAACCACAACAGCAGCTTTCTTGACACATCATCACTTCTGAATCCCTTGTAGGATTGCTTTGGGGCTTGGGTAGGTGAGGGACTGCACATATTGTCTTTTCCTGTTACACTAAGGCACATAAATATTTACATTGTCATGTAAAAAGACAAAAATGCTAAAACCAGTGTGCATGTACTGAAATATTATTTCTGGCAGCAGCGAAGACAAATGTCAGTGGGTTGAGCTAACAGTATTCTTGCAACAATGCTGACAGGAGACTGGAGGCCAATGCATTTGCTGGGGAAACTGGTGAAGTTGCAATGATGCTGCTGGATCCTCAACTGGAGCTGCTCCATGTCACTGCCACTGACAGGGAAAACTACCCACATGCCCCTGGGAGGGGAGATGCAGCTCTGCAGAGGTGGATGGGACGGAGGTGGTAGTGGTTTGGAGGAGTCCAGCAAGTAGCAGGAGGGCAGGGGGGGGTCTGCACCACATAACAGCCCCAAGGAACAGTGCTTTGGCAAGGGGAAACAGTGATGCTATTGCCAGTGGCAGAGAAAACAGCTGGAGGTTATCACTGATAATCCCTCTGCTTTGCTTGCTGGACCATTTTCTACATTCTAAGCAAGAGCAGAACCTGGGGCTAAACTGTTGCTCTTATTTCTTACTGGTCTGATGAGGAACAGGTGGCACAAAACAGAACAGCAAAGCTAAAGGTGAGACACTCCAACCCCTCAGCGGAGCCAAAGCCTAGGTGTTAGAATGATTGCTGGGTTGACAATTCCTGCTGTGCAAGACCTGGCTTGTGGGCACACTTTTTTTTTTCTTCTTTTTTTAAAAGATTTAAACATGAAATCTCATCTGTGCTGATACCAGTGTGAGTCCTTCTGCAATCAGTTTTACCTGCCTGGCTGATCAGGAGGAAGTTTTGCCAGGAAGGGACGTGGTGTCATTATTAAGAAAAATGAGGCACATTAAGCAGGTTGCTCCCACAGGACCTTTTCCCATTCTCTTTCCCTTCCTGCCCTCCCTCTTGTCCCTCCTGGCTGTCCACAAACCAGCCATATGAAGCCAGAGCAAGCTGTGCCAAAACCAGCAGCAGATTTCCTGAGTGGAGCAGAAGAATAAAGGATGCAGACAGGACTAATACAATTAAATTAAAGGGAGCAAAAGGACGCAGCAGCTTTGGCAGCTAAAATTATTGTGTGGACTCTTCCAGCTTCTTGCTGATTAATGGAGGTTAAGAGCCTTTACTGTCCTAGGCTTTAGGGTCAAAATAACTTGAATAACTTTATCTGCATACTTCAGCACATTACTTATATTTCCTTTGCTTCTTTTGCATCTAGAGAGAGAGTCCCCTGCTGACTTTTTGTTAGCAGCCTTCCTTGCTTTCCCTTGGGGTTTTCTGGTAGCGAAGCACCTCTCAGGTTGTCAGCTAAGACCACAGCTGCCTGCTGTTTGTGTGTTTTCAGCCTTGCCATGAAAGGGAGGAACAAAATGCATTGTCCTGTCCTACATGGGACTGACATGCCCCAAGGTCCTGCTGCCAGGAGG